CAGCTGTGAAGAGACTAGAGCTATAAGAGGCTTGCAGGGACCAGGAGGGAAGGGAGAAAATCCATTCCTGGAGTGCGGGGGAAGGGAAGCTCCCAAGTCTCTTCCCTGCATGGAGGAGGCCATAGTGGGGCCAGCTTCCTCCCTTCCCCTCCCATCAACTCTACCTCCAGTCCCTTCCCTGCATAGGGTGGCCACACATTGCCAGCAGTATCTCCTTAAGAGTTAAGGAGGTGTGTGGGGAAGGGGGGAATCCCTTGCAGGAGTGGGAGGGAATGGAATCCCCCTCCCCAGTTCCTTCCCTGCATGGGGTGCCTTTAGGGAGGAAGGGGTGGACACAGCTGGGCAAAGAAAAGCAAACTCAGCCATCACACTAAAATTCTAAATTAAAAAAAAAAAAAAGAACATAGCACTACATCAAGGAAGTTTTGTGGGATTTTTTTTCTTCTCACTTTTTTGTAGGCCCTGACTGATATCTCTGTGAGTTAGTGGCCCCTAACCCAAAAAATGTTCCCCACCCTGTCTTAGAATCTAACGATCAGTAGAATATTATAGGCAGAACTGGTAGTTAAACTTATAGTTAAGGTTGCCTAATACTTTCCATAATATAAAATTCTATTTTCAGCTGTTTATCGTTTTGCCAAACTTTAGCTTATTAAAATGTTAACTGATGGCAAATGGGAAGTAGCTGTTCCCCTCATTAGCCAGGGAGCTACATAAGGCTGGCAGGAAGGAAAGCAAAGCTGGGGGAGAGAGGAAAGGGAGGAGCCAAGTAGCCAAAGGCTGTGCTCCTCTGTTTGCTGCAGAAGCTAGCAGTTCCTGAGGCTGCAAGCCTGAAGCTGTCTGTAAATATAAGGTGGTGAGAACTAACACTCAATAGAGAGCATGGGTGATTGTAGAAAAGGAGGACAGGGGCAAGGGTAGGTGTGGAGTGGATAGAAACAAAGTGGAAAGGTGGACAGGAACCAAGATCGGAGTAGATAGGAATAGGAGAAAGGGTAGGGGGGCAGCAGCTGAGATAGGGTATAGTGGATATGATTAGGAGGCAAGAGCCAGAGTGGGGGTGGAAAGGAGCAGAAGGGGAGTAGGCTGCAGTTGATTGGTGGAAATAGGTGCAGGGGTGAAGGATGGATGCTGGAGTGCAGGGATGTTGTGAATGCATGAGGAGGGCAACCAGAGAGAGGGGTAGAGTGGATAGAAACAGGAGCCAGGGTGGGGGATAAGAACAGAGCAAGAGGGAGGGGCAGTAGCCAGTTTTGGAGAAAGAGGGCCAACAGAAGCCAGCGTGGCAGGGGGAGGAGGCAGTAGCTGGGGTGGGATAAACAGAAGCAGAGGAGGAAGGAAGGGATCAAGACATGGAGCAGAGTGAACATGGGACTGAAGGGTTCATAACCACTGAAGCACACATTCTGGAACTCAGATTTAACCCAGAATTCTCAAGTCACAGCATTCTTCTACTGTCAATAAAAATCTGTGAAGCCCACAGACAAAATGCCCTCTCATCACCCTCTCTAGTGTTTTGTCAAAATAGAGGATAACAATTTACTACTGTTACCAGTTACTCTGTAGTTGAAATGGTAGATATGTGTGCTATGGATCTAAAAATTTCTGTCCTACTACTGACCCATGTGCATATCAGTATGGTTCCACATGATAGAATTTGATACTGTATATATTTTTGTTAGTTTCTAAGGTGTCACAGAACTATTCTTTGTTTTTTCCATTTTACTTTTTCCCAAAGTCAAGGTAATTGACCTAAAATCCCATATTAGAAGAGCTAGAAGTCAAGCATTCAAAAGTTAAGAAATGCCTAATTAAACAGCCTTTACAACCTTAATTTAGCCATATATATATACACATTATGATTCAGTCTTTAATTACATGATCACTTAATGTTTCCACACAAACCCTGCCTACCTCATTCGAAGCACAGGCTGGATCATTCTGTGAAGATGAATTAGAGTTGTGTAGTGAATGAGACTGTTAGTAGGGATATTGCATAACGATTAATTGAATAATCGTGTAACCACATCAAATTTTAGCAGTTACAGGATTATTTGATAATCCCCAGGGATGGGGCTGACAGCCAATGTGTTCCCGGCTTCGTTCCTGGGGAGCACCCTGCCACCCCATGCTACTGCCTCTGTTTAAAAACCAGCTCCCTGCACAGACTGGCTCCTGCCTGCCACTCCATGCTGCTGCCTCTATTAGGTACATCTAGACTACATGGCTCTATCGACAGAGCCATGTAAAGTAGTTTACTCCGCATAGTCAATGAAGCGGGGATTTAAATAATCCCCACTTCATTAAAATTAAAAAGACCATCACGCTGTGCCGACAATCAGCTGATCCGGCACAGCACAGCAGTCTAGACGTGGCGCAGTCGACAAGGGAAGCCTTTGTTGACTGCTCCGGTAAACCTGAAACGACGTACCCTTAGAGACAGCAGCATGGAGCAGCAGTAGTCCCTGTAGATGGGGGACCTGAGCTTCCCATGAACAGAGGCTGCACCGGCATCCCATGGAGCAGCTTCTGTCAGTGGCAACCCTGGGCCTGCCATGGACAGAGTCTGCTCCGCGGCAACCTCCCTTGCCCTCCCCCTTGCCCCCATTCCCTATGGGATACCAGCAACGCCTCTGTCCATGGAGAGCTCAGGCCCCTGTGGACAGAGGTTGCTGCTGCGGAGCAGCTCTGAGTTCTCTGCGGACAAAGGCTGCTCTGTGGGATGCTGAAACAGCCTCTGTCCACAGGGAGCTCAAGCCCCACCCCTCTCCGGGGACAGTGGATCAAAGGCAGTAATGCATGGCAGCAGGGGGCTCCCCGGGAGTTAGGCTGGGAGTGCACTGGCTGGCAGCACTACTACCAGGGGCCATCAAATAATTGGGTAACAGCTAAGATTTGTAACAGCTAACGTGATTATTATATTAAACGATATCTAACAACCCTAGTAGATGATTATGTAGTTCAAAGACTGTGTCATAATGCATACTCGTATAGGGCTGAATTAAGGTTGTATTGGTAATCTTACTTCTGGTGTTTCCTAACTTCTAATACCTTAATGTTGTTTTAACAAAGGGGTTTAGGCACAATTCTTATAGTTAGGCCAATAGGAGCTGTTAGGTTTCACAGAACTTTTAAAATTGGGTAATTTAAGTGACTAAGTTTAGATTTCTATTTTATTTTATTTATTTATTTTTTAATTTCTGTATGTATGTATTTATTTTGTTCTAAATAAAAAGGAGATAGCAAAGCAAGATCTAGAGAAAAGAACAAATTCTGATGCATACTTAGAACTAAGAAAGGAATAAGTAATTTATATGTTACCAAAGACTTGGCATTACATATATAATATCTTTCTAAAATTATCTTAAAAGAAATGAGAGAGATTAATTTTTCAATGTTTTTGTGATGTACACTGTTTATAATTAGCTTGAAAAAGGTTTTAGATTCTGATATTAAGAAATTCTGTTACTTTACTTCCTGTATGAAGTAAATGAATTAACAGAAATATTAATGCTAGTGTACACAGTACAAGCTTTTTGTGCATAGTTTAGATTTCAGAATTTAGTATGTTCTTTCAGCTATAGCTAAATCTTTAAAAAGCATTCAAAGTAAAATGTTTACTTTACTTACGGGATAGCGTCTTTCTATGTATACATATACTCGAGTTTTAAAGGCAACCAGACATGCTTATTTCACTCAAACTTAATTTGCTCGTTTTATTTCAGTGCTAATTTTACTTTAAATGTAGCTTCTTTCCTTACAAATCTGCTTTAGTTTTGTACTTCTAAAAAATAATTTCAG